CAGGTTATTGCAAACTTCAAAAAACTGTACACAAAAGCTCTGTTTGAAAGGTGCTTTGTAGTGACCTCAGAAACTCAACTGACTCTTAAGAGAGTTTTGGAGAGAGCACTTTAATATCCTCAATTGTGTAAACCTTATAGGTAAGGCTTGGGAGGGAGTGACTAAGAAGACCTTGAACTCTGCTTGGAAGAAACTGTGGCCAGAATGTGTAGACAAAAGGGATTTTGAAGGGTTTGAGGCTAACCCTGAGAGGATTATGCCACTTGAGGAATCCATTGTGGCATTGGGAAAGTCCTTGGGGTTGGAGGTTAGTGGGGAGGATGTGGAAGAGTTGGTGGAGGAGGACAATGAAGAACTAACCACTGATGAGCTGATAGATCAACTTCAAGAGCAAGAGGCCAGACCTGAGGAAACTGGTTCAGAGGAGGGGAGAGAGAAATTGAAGAAGTTGCCTACTAAAAAGATTAAGGAAATGTGTGCAAAGTGGCTTGAAGTGCAAACCTTTTTTGATGAAAATCACCCTCACACAGCTATTGCAAGCCGTGTTGGCAACCTGTACACTGACAATGTTGTGAAACACTTTAGGGAAGTCATAAAGGAACGAGAGGTACAGGCCACTATGGACAGATATGTTGTGTGAAAGAAGTCCAGCGACTCTGAAGCTGGTCCTAGTGGCATTAAAAGAAGAAGGGAAGTAACCCCAGAAAAGGACTCGACACCTCAAGTCTTAATGGAAGGGGATTCCCCTTCTAAACACTAACACTCTCTCTCCCCTCGTCCCATCCCATCAATCATCACCAGATCTTCAATAAAAGTAAGTGTCATGTAAGTGTGCATGCCTTTTTCAGTTTGTGTGTATTAAAATTAACATTTCATGTGGTAAAAAAAATTTTTTTTCATACTTTTGGGTGTCTTGCACGGATTAATTTTATTTCCATTATTTCTTATGGGGAAAATTCATTCACATACCGATTATTTCGCATAACAATTACCCCTCTTGCACGGATTAAAATTGTTATGCGGGGGTCCACTGTACTAGGGTTATGGGCACTCCCAAGCTTCAGAACCTTGCATTTATCTACATTGAACTGCATCTGCCACTTTTCTGACCAAGAATAGAGTTTGTTTAAATCCTCCTGAAGTTCCATAACATCTACGTTTGAATCAATTATCCTACCTATCTTGGTGTCATCGGCGAATTTGCTCATATCACTAGTAATTCCCTCATCAAGATCATTGATATATATTATAAACAACAACAAGAGGATCTGTAACAAGTGGAACGCCACTTGTTACAGATCCCCACTCGGATTTAACCCCATTTATGGACACTCTCTGTTTCCTGTCAGTGAGCCATGACTCGATCCACAAGAGCACTTTTCCCCCAATGCCATGAGCTGCCACTTTCTTTAACAGTCTATGGTGCAGAACTCTATCAAAAGCCTTACTAAAATCTAAGTAAATAATATCAAATTCTTTATTGTGGTCAACAGCCTCAAAAGCTTTACTGAAGAAAGTTAATAAATTAGTTAGACAGGACCGGCCTCTTGTGAATCCATGCTATCATTAATCAAGCTATGCTTATCGAGATGGCTTCTTATAATCTCAGCTATAATTGACTCTAGTAATTTGCCTACAATTGACGTCAGGCTTATTGGGCGGTAATTTGACGGTAACGACTTGTCCCCTGTTTTAAAAATAGGAATTACATTAGCCATCTTCCACATATCAGACACTACACCTGTTTGAAGAGATAAATTAAAAATATTAGTTAATGGTTCACAGAGTTCCATTTTGCATTCCTTAAGAACCCTTGAAAAAACCTCATCGGGACCCGGCGACTTATTTTGGTTTTCAGTCTGTCTATCTGCTTCACAACCATCTCACTAGTGACTGTGATGTTACATAATTTATCTTCTTCTAGCCCACTGTAAAAAATTAATTACTGGAATACTGTTAGTGTCTTCCCTGTGTAAAACTGAGAGAAAATAATTATTTAAAATCAAGCACATTTCATTCTCTTTGTCAGTAAGGTGCCCATAGTTATTTTTAAAGGGGACCTATCTTATCTCTAACTTTTGTTCTATAGACCGGGAAAAAAAACTTTTGGGTTAGTTTTAGAATCCCTAGCAACTTTAATTTCATAGTCCCTTTAGCTTTTCTTATCCCCTTTTTAATGTCCCTCTTAATGTCGATATACTGATTCATAAGATGACCCTCACCCTCTTTTGATACCCTATAAATTCCTTTCTTATGCCCTAGTAGATATTTAGCCTATTATTCATCCATTTTGGGTCATTCTATTTGATCTAATTTCTTTATATGGGAAAAAACGCTCTTTGAGCAGCATGTATAGTGTTCAGAAAACTGTCATATTGATAGCTCTCTTCGTTACCCCAGTCAACAGATAAGTGTTCTCTAAGCCCCTCGTAATCTGCTAAGCGAAAATCTGGGACTGTTACTGAGTTATCGCTACTATCGTACTTCCATTCAATGCTAAATGTAATTGATTTTTGGTCGCTAGCACCCAGTTCCTCTGAAATTTCTAAATTATTAACAAGGGATTCATATGTTTGCCATAACTAAGTCAAGCAGGTATTTCCCTTGTAGGTTCTGTCACAAACTGCTTCAAAAAAACAATCCTGAAATACTTCTAAGAAGTCGTATGATTCTAAATTCCCAGTCAAGAAATTTCCAATCAACATGACTAAAGTTAAAGTTCCTAGGAATTACTACATTTTTCGTGCCTTGTGCCTTAACAATTTCCTCCCTTAGTAAGTTTCCCTTGGTCCCCATCTAAGTTTTGGGGGACGGTTATATCACTCCTAAAATCAGTTTTTCATGCCCCTCTGAAAAATTTTATCCAAACAGACTCTGTATGTGTTACTTCAGACTTAATACCCCGTTTTTTATGCAACAGTTCAAGCGATCTCGGACCCTACAATGCCACCCCAACCCCCTTCCCAATACTTCTATTCTTGGAACAATTTAAAACCCGAATATGACAATTTCCCCAGGCAAGTCCCGACTTTTTTAATTAAACCACGTCTCAGTTAAGGCAAATACATCAAAGTTATTTGCACTAGCAACTAAATCTCAACTCGTCCATCTTATTCCTAGCACTACGGCAATTAACATAATAAACATTGAAATGACTCTCCTTTCTCTTTACCCTTCCTGCCATTTCTATTTTTCTACTAAACCTATTACTGCCTTATCACCCAAGGTCCCTGGCTTTTCAATATCTACCTCGTTCTTATTATTACTAGTTCCCCTAGAACTCGAAATATTATTTCACTGGGACTTCACTGTCTTCCTGCCAAAAAACCCATACCACTAAACTACTCCTAGTTTAAATTTCCTAACTGCTCCCTCCACTGCAGTTGCCAGTGCTTCCCACCCCACACCTAGATAAGTGAACCCCATCCCTGGCAAAACATGTCATTTCTGCCATAGAAGGGGTCCCAGTTGTAAAATGAATGTTACCGCATTTTCCTTACAGTATTTGTTCCAGCCAGCCAAATTTGGGACACCAATTGCCCTGGACAACCATTCATTTCCAACTCCCCTACCTTGGCAAAATACCACATATGAGAGGGTTCCCACCCTTACTCCTAAATTATTTCTATTGTGACCTATACCTGCTAATCAGGTCTTCACTCCTACATCTGCCAACATCGTTTGCCTCCAGCACTGAGACAGATAATAGGATTACTCCCATTACCTCTCATGATGTCATCCAGACGGCTAACAATATCCTCCATCCCAGCCCCAGGAAAGCAAACTCTCTGTTCTCCTACTCCTGTCCTTCAAGCAGAACGCCCTATCCATATACCTTACTTGGCTATCCCCAACAACAACAATATTCGTACCTTCCTTGGTGTCGTTCGTCGTGACGTTCCCAGTAGTCGACTCACATTCATCGGGTAGCACTGAGAATGTATTAGATGTTTCCACAACAGTTTCCACGGCAGTCTCTTTCTTCTTCATCGTTTCTACCTTTCCATTCGTCTTCTTGATTGTCAACTTCTTTCCCTGCTGTCCAGCCACTGACCAGTTTCCCTTCTTGACCTGAGGACTCAAAACAGGAGGACTACTACGAATCTTTTTGTTTTCCTCGGTCAGTCGCCGAATTTCCATATTCGCCATCCTCAATTCTTCCTTAAGCTGTTGGTAAAGTTGCTTGATGGAGGGCATCTTGCTTCAATTCTAGAGAGCGCGCAAACAGGTCTTCACAGAGCCAAGTACACGTCAACACGTTAACACTGCCTGAACTAGTTAAATACTGCCTGCAATGGTTAAGTACTGCCTCTACTGGTTAAGTACAGTGGAACCTTGATATTACAACTTAATTGGTTTCAGAAGACTGTTCGAGTGCCTATCTGTTCAAGAACAGAACGAATTTATGCCCAACCAATTTTATTTTTGGGTGGCTGTTATCACTAACTCTCTTAGGCCCCATGGTGACTTATTTATACAAACATAAAAAAAGCACCAAAAAATGCGAAGGAACATGAAATAGTTTACAGTGAAGTTCTGCCAGGTCATGTTTGTTTGGTTGAGTGCCGAGCAAACAGTCGAGTATCGAGCAATTTGTGTACCGATCAAAGCATTTGAATACCGAACTGTTCAAGTACTGAGTTGAGTACTGAGGTTCCACTGTACTGCCTGCAATGGACTGTATTAATTATTCTGACAGTACTAACTATATTGCTTATATTTTGTACACAATTACTATGCCACATACAGTGTAATGCAAATTACATTCAGTGGAAACCACTCAACCTGTAAAGGACATACAATGCTAAAGAATAGGTAGCACTGAGGTTTCCTCCAGGAAGAGGGTAGTTTCAATACCCTGGATCAAAAAATTCTCACTGACATCAAGCCATCCACCCCCAAGATAGTAATATAATGTTTTATATGCAAAAAAAAAAATTGTTAAAACTTTATATTACATTTTTTTTTTTTTTGTAAACATGAGCATGTGATAATCAAAATTTTAAATTAGACTGATTTCTTTATTGAGAATATCTGTGCTTCCATGAAGGGAGTGATACATAATACAGCATGTATGGCAAACAAGCAATTAGCATGAAGAATATGGCTGAAATTTTAAATTACAAAACAAATTTTTAATGTGCCTGTGGCCTTCTGGCTTGAGTCCTAACTAACATTTTAAAGATAATGAGATTATAGCTGCAACACAAAAACATAAAAGTCTGCCATCCAGTGGAATTATGGACATCCACACTGGGACAAATTATTGTCTCAATTTTATCTAGATTTTATTTGTACTGTAATATTCAACTGTAGTGTACATTTTTATTTAAAGTATTTTTAGTAAAAATGTACTTGTTAAAGGTATAAACGTGACAACATCACGATTTTGTCGACCTCAGAGGCGGAATACGTCTACCATTTATGGCATTCAATAGAGCAATGAAGCCATATTCTCAGGAGCCCTTATGTAAGGCTTATTAAATTTGATGCTACACAGAGCAAGTTAAATATTTTAAAAAAATACATAATGAAATAAGAGAAATTAAATACATGCAGATCATCAATTATCCAGGGAGTGGTTAGTTTCCAACATTATCTGGGAATCTTGTTTAATCTGGCATCTAAACAAAATAAAAGTGCAGAGCAGACCAGCAATGCATGCCAAGTCCCTGTTGCTGCTCAAAGGCAGCTGATCACTTGCAATCCATCTTTCATAATCCATGTGCTATGTTAGTATTCTTCATAATCTATATGCTACACAATTTCCACCCTTTATAATCCACGTGCATTATCACTGTTTCATCATCCACATGCTTGGCAATCTCCAGCCATTATAATTCACATACCTTGAAATTTATGTAATCTGTAATACATATGCTTCATAATCCATGAGGTTTATCAACAACATGCTTGGTCATCCACATGCCTCACAATCCCCATCCTTCGTAATTCACATGATTCAAATTTATATTTTTACTGTCAGCAATTTTATGGAAAGCTTCAATTATTTATGCTTCTTCTTGGTGCCCACCATCTTGTTACTTGGAGCACTTATGTTTCCTAGTGTTTATTTGTATATGCTATCCAGCAGGTATACTGGCCATCATCAGCTAGAACAGGCTGTGGCAACAACTGTCAAATATTACAGCCAAGGGAGTGGTAGTGGAGGTGTTCCCCAGTCATAGAGCTGTCAATTAATGAAAGGCATTCATTACAATATCAAAAAAACAGTTACAGTTGAGCCCTCACATTCATAGGTTTCCATAACTATATGCCATAATTATTCTTCATTTTCACTGAAGGAATTACTGGTAATCACTTCAATTATATGCTTTTTATCAGAATGCCCTTTTTTTTTTCTAGTCATCCTCATAACCTAAATTGAAAATGTATCCTAAGATTTTTTTGTAACTGCCCTCAAATTATTTTCATATCTCTTTTCTTTCTTTTAATAAATGGCAATATGTATTAATCAGAACATAGTAGTATTTAATATAATGTGGCCTCCACGATATAAAATGAGTCCAAATCAGACATTTTTTTTTTAAACGCGCTGCCCATCTCCTACCAAGTTAAGGTGACCCAAAAAAAGAAACACTTTCAGCATCATTCACACTACCACTGTCTTTCCAGAAATGTGCAGATACGACAAAATTATGAAAATTTTTGATGATTGCAGAATCAAAATTTATGGGACCATGGCTGATAGTGTCAGAAAGTGGGATAACTGTTTCCTGTCATAAGTCTGTCATATGATCAACCACTAAATACAGATTTTGGTTATACATATAACCATGACCATTCATAGCTTACTGGTCCACCTCAATGAAAATTAAATATCACATCATATGATATGCATCTGGGGACTCTTAAGAACCTAACTAAACAAATTTGGGAGTTTGATATTATGTGGTTTCTATACTTTGTTCAATTCCACGTTTTTTACTAAATACGATTGCAGGAATCTTGCAAAGAGTGAAAACTAACGTGGTCATCTCTTGCGTAAACTTACAAGTGTCAGGACATCATAGTTATAAAAATCTTTTCAACACCAAAACTTTATGGTGCATCTCTTGTATGAATTCGGTTATGTACTGATAGGTAAGATTTTTGTCTGAAGTATTTTAGACACACTGAACACTGGAATGGTTTCTCTTTTTTGTGAGTTCTCTTGTGTGTCACAAGAGCAGATTTTTGTGAAAACTCTTTTTGACACTCTGAGCACTGGTATGGCTTTTCTCCAGTATGAATTCTCATGTGTGTCACTAGATTTGACTTGTGTGAGAAATCTTTGGGACATTCTGAACACTTGTGTGGTTTATCTCCTGTGTGAGTTCTCATGTGATATTCTCTATCTGATTTACGAGAAAACTCTTTTAGACACTCGGAACACTGATAAGGCTTTTCTCCAGTATGGGTTTTCATGTGTGTTACTAAATTAGATTTGTTTGAAAACTCTTTAGGACACACTGAACATTGAAATGGTTTCTCTCCTGTGTGAATTCTCATGTGTGTCACTAGCTTAGATTGATATGGAAAATCTTTCAGACACTCTGAACACTGAAATGGTTTATTGCCTGTGTGAGTTCTCATGTGATATACCAGTTCAGATTTACGAGAAAAGTCTTTCTCACAATCGGGGCACTTGTGTGGTTTCTCCCCTGTGTGCGTTCTCATGTGTGTTAACAGACTAAATTTACGAGAAAAATCTTTTAAACACACTGAACATTGATATGGTTTCTCTTCTTTACCAATTATCATTTGCATTAATAAAGCAGGTCTTATTAAGTTAACCCTAATACGCTTCCTGGTTCCAGACTGAGCAATTGAGACAGGGGTCTCATCAGACATTTCTGCAGGTGTTTCTTCAGAAGTCTTTTCAGGTGTCACTTCAAGCATTACTTCAGGCATTACTTCAGGCATATCTTCATGCATATCCTCATGCATATCTTCATGCATATCTTCAGGCACTTCATCAAGCACCTCTTCAGCCATCACAAAGTATGGGTAAGATTGTATTTTTTTGGCCAACAATGATATAGTTTCTCTTTAATAAGTCAAATATTTATTTGAAATGCTTATTGTCAAGATTTTCAAAATTAGGAATACTGACACTTTACTATTTTATGATTTATTTTCCTAATTCAGGTTCCAAAATAATTAAAAAACTTTGAGGGCACAAACCATACCACGGGTGGGGATAGAACCGTGATCAGAGTCTCAAAACTCCAGACCGTCTTAACACTCTTAACACAAGGTAGACATTTAGGACTAACTTGAATCTTTCCAGAGTCCAATGAATGCAAAGGAAATTATTAACTTTACTGCAAGTAAACAGAGGAACTCTTAGTAATCCTCAAGTAATCTATCACAAAGCCCTTACTCTTCCCTCAAGCCAAGTGAGGAACTAAAATGTGAGGCAGTGTAGTTCTAGAACTGAGAGTGTGAGTTTCCTAATCATCCACAACCGCTTTCAAAAATTAATAAAAAATATCAAAGATACAGTAAAAATACACATTCAAATTCTTTCAATATTTTGATGACCAAATGCTATAGGGTTAATGCTTTCATAAACGCTCACAAGAGTACTGTTTAAAGTTTATAAGGAATGAACAGTGGTACAAACTTCAGTAATAAACAAACATGCAAATAGATTCTCTCTGGTATTCTACAACAAGCAATTTGAATAAAACTAAGAATGCTGAATTTATAGTTTTTTTACATGAATTAAAAGAATATCTTATATTTTAAAAATCGATCTTTTGGAAAAGGAAAATGGTAAAAATATACATTTAAAGAGGCATAAAAAAGTTTTTTTTAAAATAACTTTTTTACAAGATAAATCAGTGAATTTTTACAAACAATACACATTGAAAACACAAAAAAACACAAGTTATTGAAGTTATAACTACAGTATATATATCAATGATTAGTAAAATTGCAAATGACTGAAAATTACTTTATTACTAAATGGCATATGTAATTAATGAATTGTTAAAGTACTTACTTTTTATTCAAAGAGGTTCCTGTACTTCCATTGTAAATAATAGCACGAAACAGCTTCACATACACACAATATTTATATAATCTATATAATCAAAACTACACCTTCAATGTGAGAAGACATCTTTTTGGTTATAAAATTACTTTATTTTAAAAGATATCACTATGAAAGATTAACAATTGTAACGCTTAAATATGGAACACAAATTTATAGTATTGATGTCTTTATCTAAATGATCATATTTTCTTTGATAAAAGGATTTACAAAGCAGTGATTGTGTTCATACAATACTTTAAATGAAGAGTGCATATAAGAATATTTGAATGACTGATGTAAACTTGCACTTGACACTGTGGATGTAAGGTGTCCCACACTGGTGTAGTTGACACTGTGGATGTAAGGTGTCCCACACTGGTGTACTTCATCAAACTCAGTGATGACATACCATATAAAGCGTGGGTTTCATACCACCATTATGTCACTGGGAGCTCCCATTGCAAGTTTAATTCTTCTGGGATAAAGATGAACTGCAAAAGAGAAGCATGAGCAATTATTAATATTTATTATATGCAAACATTCTTGAGCTCATGCAAAACATTAGCTTAATGAACAGTGACATTTTTAGGGGCATTGTGAATTATTATGCAATACATCCAAGACAATATGTAAGTTAACTTAATTTTTCACCCCACATAGGCAGTCTTCCATTAGTGACCCCAAAAAATAAAATCATCATTCTTTCATTAGCTGTTTTGCCAAATAAGCCTTTGAATTGCAACATCCCTACCACTCTTACAGAGTGCTGCCACTGAACTTTTTACCTTTAAGACTTAATTCTGGCTAACCTGTTTCCCAAAATCCCTTCATATTACCTTGCTCACATTTCAACAGCATGTTAAATTCTAATGAGACGATCATAAATATATCATATAAGTTTCTTTTAACACACCGCCATCTACCAAGGTAAGGTGACCCAAAAAGAAAACACTTTCACCATTACTCACTTCATCACCATCTTGGCAAAGGCACACCAATACTACAGTTCACATACCTCTCCAAACTACTAATATCCCCACACCTTCAGAGTACAGACACTGTGCTTCCTACTTCCAGGACTAGTCCAGCTAACCTGTTTCCCCGAGTCCCTTCATAAATGCTACCTTCCTCACACTCCAACAGCACATAAAATCATAAAAACCTGTTGTCTCTACTTCTATCTAACATGCTCACACATGCCTGTTAGATGTACAATCCCCTCACATACAAAACCTTCTTTACCACATACCTCCACTCCTTCCTAGGCTTACCCTTATCCTATCTTCCCTCCATTATAGATTTATACACCCTCCAAATCATCCTATTCTTCTCCAACGCTCTCTCTAAATGTCCAAATCACCCCCAACAACCCCTTCTCAGGCCATTGGATAACACTAGTAGTAACCCCGCATCTCCTGATCACCCACACATTATATTCGGACATGACATCCCCACTGCCTCCAGCATCCTCGCTGCATCAGTCACCTAAAGAATGCTTTGCATATAAGGGTCTTTCTATAAAAAAGTTAAATTTGTCAGTCACCTCAACTGTATAATATACTGTACTTCACTTTACAGAAATAAAGTTTGTCTGTTGGTACCATTATACAGCAATCCCTGAATAACAGAATATGTATCATACCTCTAAACTATCGCAACTCAAACCCTAAAATACATGGATTTAAGGTAATTCATTCCAAGACCCTGGAAGTGCAACTTTTACTGTACCTTGGACTTACACGCTCACAGATATAATCTGTAGTCATTATCTCCCTTCATTTGCTTCTCTCTTATCCACAATTACAACAGTCTTCCCGTCTCTATGATAATTTCTCTGTCTTTTTTCACTTGCTTAGATTCATTAGCCACTTTAATTTCTTCATTTATTTTTGCTTGATAATAGCAGAGATGATTGTTTGTGGAAAGCCATATTCACACACCAGTGAACTAATTTCTTGTCGGATCTTCAGAGAAATGACCTGTTTACTGTACACTTCAGGATCCATGATGATTTGTTAACACAACAATGTAATTATAATACCAATGCAATTATTATTATTATAATAAAAAAAGAAGTGCTAAACCACAAGGGCTATACAGCGCTGCAGGGCAGGGAAGGATGTGAGGGTATCGGGTAGCAAGAGGGAAAGGGATGATTAGTAAGTTACGGAGTACAGTGGGGCAATGGATAGTGCAGGGGTAGAGGGTAGCAAGAGATTGAGGTAGAAAGGGCTGAGAGAAGTGCTAAAGGTATCATCAGAGTTTGTGGAGTAAATCAGTTGCTGTCAAAAAGTCAACGAGAGAATCCGGATTAAACGAGGGTCCATCAGCTAGAAGGGAAGGTAAAGAAAGAGCAGCAGAGCAGAGACAACATTGGAGGTAAATTCTGCATGCCCGTTGATAGAGTGGGCAGTCCAGCATAATGTGGCTAACAGATACTGGAACCTGACAATTCTCACAGACAGGAACAGGGCGCCTCTCCATGAGATACCCGTGAATAAGACGAGTGTGGCCGATGCGAAGACGGGAGAGAGTAGTCTCCCAACCTCGACGTTGATGACAAGAAGACGGCCAATAACCTATACACGGTTTAATAGAATGAGGTTTGTTACAGAGCAGATCAGACCAACGTTGTTGCCAATAGGTGCAAAGGTGGGTAGCAATTACAGCAAAATAGTCCATGAATGGAATACCTCTATACGAAACTGGGTCATGTACTGCTGACCGCAAAGAAGTGTCTGCCTGTTCATTGCCCTGTATGTCAACATGACCAGGGACCCAACAAAAAACAATACGTATCTTTGTGCTTGGTAGAGATACGGCATAACCAAAACTGGATACGGAGAACTAGGGGGTGAGGTATCAAATTTTCGTATAGCCTGTAAAGCACTAAGGGACTCTGAAACAACCACAAATGGTGACACAGGCATAGATGCAATACGGATGGTAAGTGCTGCAAGAATGGCATACAATTCAGCAGTAAAAATGCTAGCCGAGGATAGTAAATGCCCTCGCACGACACTGTCCGGAAACACTGCTGTGAATCTGACGCTGTCAGAAGACTTAGACTTAGAATTGCGATGGTATGAGAATGAGAGCAGAAGTGGTCAAGAAGAAAGAGAGCGGGAAGTTACTGTAGGCAGTTGGGCTTTCGCACATAACAGTGAGAAAGAACAGACATGAACAGCTGGACCTTCCCAAGGGGGTAGAGAAAAGCAAAATGCTACATGAACATAGAAAAGTGGTAACTGAAGGGAAGACAAGCAAATGTAGAAGAGAAAAGGGACGCCGTAAACAGGGGCGACAAACAAATAATGTCTACTAACATCAGTGATTATTCTATATATAGAAGGATTGCGGAGATCATGAGAGCGAACATAATAGCGAAGGCAATGAGCACCACAGCAATCGGACAAGGATGGAATATTTGCTTATGCATTGAAACTCTCAACAGGTGAAGAGCGAAAAGCACCAAGGCATAAACATAATCCCTGGCGATGGATGGGATTAAGGCTAGAGAGAGTAGCAGGAGAGGCTGCCGAATAGATCTGGTCACCATAATTGAGGTTCGATAAAATTAGGGCTGAATGTAGGCAGAGTTCTACGATCAACTCCCCATGAAAGATGAGCAAGGGTTTTAAGAAATTTCAGCGGCTGTGACAGGTTGCCTTCAGAGAGGTAATGTGAGGTTTCCAGGATAACCTATGGTCAAACTGAAGGCCTAGAAACCTGACTGTATCATGTTCTGGGATACATGAGCCATAGAGGTACAATGGATGATCAGAGATGACAGAATGTCTAGTGAAAGTAATTTGGTGAGTTTTAGCTCTGGAAAATTTAAACCCATGCGTGGTGATCCAATTGAAAACAAGGTTGACCGCATGCTGGAGAGAAACTGCAATGAGGTGACAGTCAGCTCCTGCACAAGCTATAGCAAAGTCATCAACATAGAGTGATAACCAAACATTGGATGGAAGAAGAGAGGCCAAATCATTTATAGCAAGGAGAAAAAGTGTTGTGCTCAGAACACATCCCTGGGGAACACCTTCAGCCTGGACGAAGTCCGGGGAGAGCATATTATTAACCTGAACACAGAAATGTCTGTCAGTTAATTCTCACCCTTTTTGCTGTAGGGTTGGCACTAGAAGCTTTCTTGGGACCCATGGTGACTTATTTGCAGGTGCAATCACTAAAAACGCTGCAATGATATGAAATGTTCCGATTGTATGCTTGGATGCGACTGCGGTGGCTGGCTTGTAAACACTGGCACCCACGGAACAAGTGAGGTGGGCTAAGGCCGCACGTGGACATGTCTCGAACGAATCGCCTTGAGCGAGTTTTTTAGCGCTAGCCGAGGCAAAATTTTTGCGTTAAAATGTATCGCTAGGCGGATTTAACGTTATGTGATGTGCTCGTTAGGCGAGGGTCCACTGTGTATGTATGTATGTATGTGTGTGTGTATATATATATATATATATATATATATATATATATATATATACAGTGGACCCCCGCATAACGATTACCTCCGAATGCGACCAATTATGTAAGTGTATTTATGTAAGTGCGTTTGTACGTGTATGTTTGGGGGTCTGAAATGGACTAATCTACTTCACAATATTCCTTATGGGAACAAATTCGGTCAGTACTGGCACCTGAACATACTTCTGGAGTGAAAAAATATCGTTAACCGGGGGTCCACTGTATATATATATACAGTGGACCCCCGCATAACGATGGCATCGCATAGCGATTTTTCCGCATAACGATTACTTTTATCGCAAAATTTTTGCCGCGCATACCGATTAAAAACCCGCATACCGATTTTCGTCCGAGACGCGTCCAATGTGCCCTCAGCCAGCCTCACATGTGCCGCTCCGTCCCATTGTTTACCAGCCAGCCTCCGCGGTAACATCCAAGCATACACTCGGAATATTTCGTATTATTACAGTATTTTCGGTGCTGTTTCTGGAAAATAAGTGACCATGGGCCCCAAGAAAGCTTCTAGTGCCAACCCTGTGGTAAAAAGGGTGAGAATTAGTATGGAAATTAAGAAAGATTTTGAAGGGTTTGGGGCTAACCCTGAGAAGCCTATGCCAGTTGTGGAATCCATTGTGCCTACTTCAAAGATTAAGGAAATTTGTGCAGAGTGGGTTGAACTGCAAACCTTTATAGATGAAAATCACCCTGACACAGCTGTTGCAAGCCGTGCTTGTGACTATTTCAATGACAATGTTATGGCCCATTTTAGGAAAGTCTTGAAGGAACGGGAGGTACAGAGCTCTATGGACAGATTTGTTGTGCGACAGAGGTCCAGTGACTCTCAAGCTGGTCCTAGTGGCATTAAAAGAAGAAGGGAAGTAACCCCAGAAAAGGACTTGCTACCTCAAGTCCTAATGGAAGGGGATTCCCCTTCTAAACAGTAAGAAGATAATGCTCTCCCCTCCTCCCATCCCATCAATCATCACCAGATCTTCAATAAAAGTAAGTG